GCATATCTTGGTGGTTGTAGCAAATATTCAAATGAGAGCTTTGAAGGTCGAAAAGCAGAAGGGTTCCATGTGAACAGCAGTTGAACATGGGTCAGTCGCTTGTCGGCCTAGCAGAAGGTTAGGCTACATTGTTATGCACGGGCAGCAGTCGTCGGTGCATATCTTGGTGGCAGTAGCAAATATTCAAATGAGAGCTTTGGTGGTCGAAAAGGAGAACAGCAGTTCAACATGGGTCAGTCGCTTGTCGGCCTAGCAAAAAGGTCGCATTGTTATGCCCGACAGCAGCCGTCGGTGAAGATCTTGGTGGTAGTAGCAAATATTCAAATGAGAGCTTTGGTGGTCGAAAAGGAGAACAGCAGTTCAACATGGGTCAGTCGCTTGTCAGCGTGTCAAGCGCATGTCGGCTTAGAAATACTGTCGGATTTTTATGCCCGGGCAGCAGCCGTCGGTTCAACTCTTGGGGGTAGTATCAAATATTCCAATGAGAAATTTGAAGGCCGAAAACGAGAAGGGTTCAATGTGAACAGCAGTTAAACATGTGTCATTCGCTTATCGGCCTATGCCCGGGCAGCAGCCGTCGGTTCAGATTTTGGTGGTAGTAGCAAATATTCAAATGAGAGCTTTGAAGGCCGAAAAGGAGAAGGGTTCCATGTGAACAGCAGTTAAACATGGGTCAGTCGCTTGCGGCATTGCGGAACGTTCGCATTGTTATGTCAGGGAGCAGCCGTCGGTACAATCTTGGTGGCAGTAGCAAGTATTCAAATGAGAGCTTTGAAGGCGAAAACGGAGAAGGGTTCCATGTGAACAGCAGTTAAACATGGGTCATTCGCTTGTCGGCCTAGCACAACGGTCGCATTGTTATGCCCGGGCTGCAGACGTCGGTTCAAATCTTGGGGGTAGTATCAAATATTCAATGAGAGCTTTGGGCCGAAAAGGAGAAAGGTTCGATGTGAACAGCAGTTAAGATGGGACATTCGCTGGTCGGCCAGGCATACGGTCGCATTGTTATGCCCGGCAGCAGCCGTCGATTCAGATCTTGGTGGTAGTAGCAAATATTCAAATGAGAGCTTTGAAGGCCGAAAAGGAAAGGTTCCATGTGAACAGCAGTTAACATGGGTCAGTCGTTTGCGGCATTCGGAACGGTCGCATTGTTATGCCCGGGCAGCAGCCGTCGGTTCAGATCTTGGTGGTAGTAGCAAATATTCAAATGAGAGCTTTGAAGGCCGAAAAGAAGGAGTTCCATGTGAACAGCAACGTTGCGGCATTGCGGAACGGTCGCATTGTTATGTCAGGGCAGCAGCCGTCGGTACAATTTGGTGGCAGTAGCAAGTATTCAAATGAGAGCTTTGAGGCGAAAGGAGAAGGGTTCGTGTGAACAGTAAGTTAACATGGGTCAGTCAGTCGCTTGTCGGCCTAGTAGAAGGTCGCATTGTTATGCCCGGGCAGCAGTCGTCGGTTCATATCTTGGTGGCAGTAGCAAATTCAAATGAGAGCTTTGAAGGCGAAAAGGAGAACAGCAGTTGAACATGGTCAGTCGCTTGTCGCCTAGCAAACGGTCGCATTGTTATGCCCGGGCAGCAGCCGTCGGTTCAGATTTTGGTGGTAGTAGCAAATATTCAAATGAGAGCTTTGAAGGCCGAAAAGGAAAAAGGTTCCATGTGAACAGCAGTTTAACATGGGTCAGTCGTTTGCGGCATTGCGGAACGGTCGCATTGTTATGCCCGGGCAGCAGCCGTCGATTCAGATCTTGGTGGTAGTAGCAAATATTCAAATGAGAGCTTTGAAGGCTGAAAAGAAGGAGGGTTCCATGTGAACAGCAACGCTTGCGGCATTGCGGAACGGTCGCATTGTTATGTCAGGCAGCAGCCGTCGGTACAAAATTTGGTGGCAGTAGCAAGTATTTAAATGAGAGCTTTGGAGATCGAAGAGGAGAAGGGTTTCGTGTGAACAGTAAGTAGTTGAACATGGGTCAGTCAGTCGCTTGTCGGCCTAGTAGAAGGTTACATTGTTATGCCCGGGCAGCAGTCGTCGGTGCATATCTTGGTGGCAGTAGCAAATATTCAAATGAGAGCTTTGGAGGTCGAAAAGGAGAACAGCAGTTGAACATGGGTCAGTCGCTTGTCAGCCTAGCAAAAAGGTCGCATTGTTATGCCCGACAGCAGCCGTCGGTGAAGATCTTGGTGGTAGTAGTAAATATTCAAATGAGAGCTTTGAAGGTCGAAAAGGAGAAGAGTTCCGTGTGAACAGCGATTGAACATGGGTCAGTCGCTTGTCGGTATAGCAAAACGGTCGGATTGTTATGCCCGAGCAGTAGCCGCGAATCAGATCTTGGTGGCAGTAGCAAATATTCAAATTAGAGCTTTGATATTCGAAGAGAATAAGGTTCCTACGTGTCAGTCGCTTGTCGCCTAGCAAAACGGTCGGATTGTTATGCCCGGGCAGCATCCGTCGGTTCAGTTCTTGGAGGTAGTATCAAATATTCCAATGAGAGCTTTAAAGGCCGAAAACGAGAAGGGTTCCATGTGAACAGCAGTTGAACATGTGTCATTCGCTTATCGGCCTAGCACAACGGTCGCATAGTTATGCCCGGGCAGCAGCAGTCGGTTCAGATCTTGGGGGTAGTAGCAAATACTCCAATGAGAGCTTTGAAGGCCGAAAAAAAGAAAGGTTTGATGTGAACAGCAGTTAAAAATGGGTCATTCGCTTGTCGGCCTAGCACAACGGTCGCATTGTTATTCCCGGTCAGCAGCCATCGATTCAAATCTTGGTGGTAGTAGCAAATATTCAAATGAGAGCTTTGAAGGCCGAAAACGAGAAGCGTTCCATGTGAACAGCAGTTAAAACATGGGTCATTCGCTTGTCGGCCTAGCACAACGGTCGCATTGTTATGCCCGGGCAGCAGCCGTCAAATTAGATCCTGGGGGGTAGTAGCAAATATTCAAATGAGGGCTTAAAAGGTCGAAAAGGAGAAGTGTTCCATGTGAACCCACTTAACATGGGTCAGTCGCTTGCGGCATTGCGGAACGGTCGCATTGGTGTTGTCAGGAAGCAGCCGTAGGTACAAATCTTGGTGGCAGTAGCAAATATTTGAATGAGAGCTTTGGAGATCGAAGAGGAGAAGGGTTCCATGTGAACAGCAGTTAAACATGGGCATTCGCTGTAGGCCTAATACAACGGTCGCATCGGTTATGCCCGGGCAGCAGCCGTCGGTTGCAGATCTTGGTGGTAGTAGCAAATATTCAAATGGAGTGGCTTTGAAGGCCGAAAAAGGAGAAGGATTACATGTGTAACAGCAGTTAAACATGGGTCACGTCGCTTGCGGCATTGCGGAACGGTCGCATTGTTGTTGTCAGGAAGCAGCCGTCGGTACAAATCTTGGTGGCAGTAGCAAATATTTAAATGAGAGCTTTGGAGATCGAAGAGGAGAAGGTTTCCGTGTGAACAGCAGTTGAACATAGCAGAACGGTTGGATTGTTATGCCCGGGCATCAGCCGTCGGAGCATATCTTGGTGGTTGTAGCAAATATTCAAATGAGAGCTTTGAAGGTCGAAAAGCAGAAGGGTTCCATGTGAACAGCAGTTGAACATGGGTCAGTCGCTTGTCGGCCTAGCAGAAGGTTAGGCTACATTGTTATGCCGGCAGCAGTCGTCGGTGCATATCTTGGTGGCAGTGCAAATCTTCAAATGAAGAGCTTTGGTGGTCGAAAAGGAGAACAGCAGTTCAACATGGGTCAGTCGCTTGTCGGCCTAGCAAAAAGGTCGCATTGTTATGCCCGACAGCAGCCGTCGGTGAAGATCTTGGTGGTAGTAGCAAATATTCAAATGAGAGCTTTGGTGGTCGAAAAGGAGAACAGCAGTTCAACATGGGTCAGTCGCTTGTCAGCGTGTCAAGCGCATGTCGGCTTAGAAATACTGTCGGATTTTTATGCCCGGGCAGCAGCCGTCGGTTCAACTCTTGGGGGTAGTATCAAATATTCCAATGAGAAATTTGAAGGCCGAAAACGAGAAGGGTTCAATGTGAACAGCAGTTAAACATGTGTCATTCGCTTATCGGCCTATGCCCGGGCAGCAGCCGTCGGTTCAGATTTTGGTGGTAGTAGCAAATATTCAAATGAGAGCTTTGAAGGCCGAAAAGGAGAAGGGTTCCATGTGAACAGCAGTTAAACATGGGTCAGTCGCTTGCGGCATTGCGGAACGTTCGCATTGTTATGTCAGGGAGCAGCCGTCGGTACCAATCTTGGTGGCAGTAGCAAGTATTCAAATGAGAGCTTTGAAGGCCGAAAACGAGAAGGGTTCCATGTGAACAGCAGTTAAACATGGGTCATTCGCTTGTCGGCCTAGCACAACGGTCGCATTGTTATGCCCGGGCTG